GGAATGTTAATCATCCCAAAGGGCAGGAGGCCTGTATTCATAATTGTCTCTGCTGGAGCCGATGGAATAGAAGGGAACAGTCGGCAATTTCCGTATTAACCAAGGCAGCAATTTACATTCAGTCCCTGCCCATGCAAAGTTGGGCTCTTGTGCTCTGTCAGAGCTGCTCTGATGGCTGGGCAGGAGCTGGAGCCAATGCTCTGACCAGGATGGGCACCCCCTTCCTTTTTGTCTCTTCTCATCTTTTACAAGAAACCCTTGTTTCTGTGATAAAAATCTTGAGAGTGACCTGCTGAATGAATTGTTTTCCACAGAATTTCCATTTATAAATCATCCAAGTGACTTCATTAGAATTCCAGCTCTGCTCAGGCGGTGGGGTTGTTTTTAATGCCACATTTTTTCACAAGGTCTGGTCAGGGAATGTTCATGAGTGTGCCAAGGAGCACATACCTTATGTTCCTGTACCCTTTGGATGTTGTGTTTGAGCCTTCAGGAACTGGTGGGGGTGAGGAGGACAGAGGGGGAGGCTGGGCACTGCTGAGAGCTCTCTGCTGTCCTGGTTCCATCCCTTCCATCAGCTCCAGGGGACTGGAGGCACAGCTGGAGCACGGAGCAGTGCGTACCTGCCGTGGCTGCGCTGCTCTCGTGCAGTGTTTCACTGGGAGATGGGAGTCACTTCCACATCCATCTTTCTCTTGGGGTGGAATTGACAGGCCTGGGAGAACACAGCCCTTCGACCAGCACAGGCACAACTGCAGGCTAGAATTGAGCTGATTTTTTTCTAGGTTTTTAAGGAGCTAAACCTTTTCTGGAGAATGGGAAGCAGCTCTGCCCTCATTGGGAGAGGACATTCCCTTCCCTGGGAGAACAGGCTTAGTTTCTGTGGTTTGTCTTTGGGTGAGCTGGAGTCATCAGTGGAACACATTTTTCACCAGAGTTCTTGGAGGTGGGCACTGTGGCTCTGGAAACCAGGATGAAAAGCGGGCTGGCAGACTTTGTGGAGAGTTGGGCTTGGCTCTGGGGGCGCTCAGGCTTGGTTTGGTACACTCTGGTCTCTGAGGACTTGCCTGGATTTCTCTCCTCAGATGCAAAGCGCTCTCAGCCCAGAGGGTGGAAAGGTCCTGGTGCTGCTGTGTCCTGCTCCTGCCGTGCCGTGGTGAGGCACGTGGCTCTGGGCTGGCTGAGGGCTGCTCCTGCAGCCAGCGTGCCCGTGTGATGAGCCCCTGACTCATCGGCCTCGTGTCAGATGGGATTGTTCAATACCGGCGCCGCACGTTTTGTAATCACCCACGCCTGGTCACCTTTCCTCAGTCGTTTTCTTTAGAACTGCCTGGTGCTGCTGCACCTGTCCTGCTTCTTGTTTCTCCTGGCCATAAGGAAAGCTGATGGCTGTGGATGGCTAATTCCTCAGGCAGCGTTATCCTGCTGCTTACTGGGTCTTTGTTCTCCTCGCTTGTGTGCTGCAGGAGAGTTGTATTTTAGTTCTCATTTGGTGGAGAGATTTAGCAAAAGCCTAAAAGCTGGAAATGAACTTTGGCTAAGCAGAGTTGCCACGGTGGGGATAAGAGGGAATATTTTCTAAAACCTCAGAGAGCCATTGCCTGTATCAACTGTGGGCTGAAGTACTGACATTTTATGTTTCATCACAATGTTTTTCTTGCTATAGCAAATAACATTTGATTACCAAGCTGTTAATGCCAGAGCGTGGTTGAATCGGAGAGCAGGCTGCTAACAGGTAGAAACAGGAGAGGCAGCTGTCAGTGGGCAGGGTGAGCTAGGGGTCCTGGGGCATGTCCTGAGCCTTTCTGGGCAGGGAGAATATTCTAAGAGAGCCAGGATAATTAATACCTGCTTCTCAGCTGTGTGCCTCTTAGCTTATTTCAGGGGTGAGGTGAGTAGAACTTCTATACCTCTTTAACCTGGCTGCTTCCCACCTCCTGTCTGGAGTCCCTTTCTCCGAATATTTGCTGTAGCAGAGCTTTGGGGCAGTCAACAGCTGATGAACGAGGTGGTGGCACCTTTGGGCAGGTGCAGAGGCTGCCCCTGAGAGGAAAAGCCTCTGACAGGAGGAGGAAGGGCTGTGACAGACAGGGATGGGTGTCTCTTTTCCGGGAGGGTCTCACAGAGGTTTGGGGAATGCTGCAGGGGACTAATGAGGGTTTCTAGAAGCTGTCTCCTCATTTGTGTTTGAGGGAGGAATTACGTGAGAGGGAAATAAGGAAATGGCACTGTGTTGCTGGGAGACTGGGCTCCTTGGGTATTAGACATTTTCACGGAGAAGCAGCTGTAAGCTCCTTTTTCCCACGTCCTGTCTCTGGGTCCTGTATCAGCCCCGTGCAGTGGCTGAACAGGGTGCTGCCCTTCTTGTCCTCCCCAAGACGATTGCATAACAACTCTGTGCTTTTACCCATGAAAGTAACGCTTTGGGAAGTTGCTCCTGCATTGCCAGCAGAGTAGAATTCACAGTTTGTGGTGGAAGTTCTCCCTGGCTGAAAAGATTCTCATGAGAGTTGTGACTTCCCTGTGTGACCATGGTGGGTCTCGTGCATCAGCAAGATGTTGTATTTAGCTGAACCTGCATGAGCAAAGGTTGAACTGGCTTGGAGCTTGCACAGGTTTAAAGAGAGCAATTTGGAGATTCTCTAGTTAAGCCATTGTATTCATTTAATGCATTCAGGGCCTTTCTGCTGATCCCAGGCCAGGGGTTTAATATGCTGTGTTAACACTTAAATGAAGAAACCACTGAAGGCTGATTCATTGTTAGTCATTATGTGTCTTTTTCTAGTAATTCTGACCCCAAGTCTCTCTAGTTGAGGCTAAACCTCGCCCTCTCTGCTAAATGGCCATCAAAAGGGTTCCATGAAAAGGGAATTATGTGGCTTCAGCCAAGTTTCAAAGTAGTCGAATCATGCTATCCCACACAAACAAACTCCCACAGCCAGTGGAACTGACACGTTGAGCTCAAAAATAGCCCAGCGTGTGTGGGGGGAGCCGAGCTGAGCTCTGCTCTGCACATCAGAGGATGGGCAGGAGATCCTGGGACAGCACAGCGGCAGAACTGGATCTCACTGGAGCCTGGTGGACCTGGCTGCCTGTTATCTTGAAGCATTGGTCCTCTCAGAGCGTGTGGTCTGATCAGAGAAATGTTGCTGATGCTTCTGGTTTATTCTCTGCATCCAGTGTTGGGGACAATTTCCAGCTGGGGCAGCTGCATCTCAGAAGAACTGTAGGAAGGAGCTGGTCCTTGTGCAGTGCAGGTGTGGGAGTGACTCCAGCATCCCTCTGTGCAAGATGTGGAACTTCTTGAGGTGGGGAGATGGGCTTAGGCCAGCACTTTGTGGCTATAATTCGGTGGCAAGAGTGCAGATGCTCTTCTTGGAAGTGCTTTGGCCATGGAAGGTTTGAAATGAAGGTGTAAATGTGAGTATTGTCTCGTGCCCCTCAGCTGCAGCGTGTGCAGGAGTGGCTGCCTCCTGGATCACAGCCGGGTTTGTGACGGCTGTCAGAGGCGAATGCAGCGCTGGGAAACCTCCCCGTGGGATTTGGGAGCTGCGGTTCCTGAGAACCTGTCTGAAGGAGCGGCTGAGCGAGGTGGGGACGCAGATGCTGAAAGCAGACGTGCTCTGGCACGGTGCAGGACACAGCAGCCGTGCTTTGCCTGGCCTGGGATGGCAGCGCTGGGGTCGGCGTGTCCGGAGGGTGAATGAGCGCTGCCCGCAGCAGCTCAGCTGAGCCACGGAGAGAAACCAGCCGTGTCTTCCCAGGGACTGGAGTGGGAGCTCACCAGCTTCCCAAACACTGCCTTGGCTGCCTGGCTGGGCCTGCTGCAGGAGTGACCTGGTGTGCTGAGCTACTGGAGGGGCTGGCCTGAGCGCTGCTCTTGTGCAATGCAGGAGATGGCTGCTCCCGACAGCCCAGCTGGGTGTTGCCACTGGAGTTCGGGATCTCCTCCACGTTTGCCACTCTCCTGTATGGCTTGGCTCTGCCTTCAGCTCCTTAAAGCGTCGGCTGCAGTTATAGGACATTAATTATAGTCCATTTGGAAGATGGTTTAGAAGAAAAGGAGTCTGTGGGGTATCAGCGTGCGACTGCGGGCCCGGAGCTGGAGGCCAGCGTGGTTTGACAGGGAGCCAGGCCCAGGACGACTGTCAGAGCTCCATTAGCTGAGCGCACGCCTCGGCACTACTGGGAATACAGAGAATGCGGGGCCGCGGCAGCAGATTAAAGTGTTTCAATTAAAGTCTGGATTTGGAGGCTGTGTGCGTCTGCTGCCTTTCAGCAAGCAGATGGATGTTTCTTGTCTCCTTCCAACAACTTTTAAAATGTGGTTGGTCCTGTTGGAAGGAGTTCTGAATGAGAGGGACGCAGCGAGGTGTTTTCAAGGCTGGGGAAGTGTGCGTGGATTTCTGCAGCAGAAGGGAAGACACATTTTTTCCAGGTTTTTCCTTACCTACACAAGTCAGTCTCAGCTTGTCCTGGCTCTTTGGCTGTCTTGGGCTTTCAGCTGTGCCTTTTCCTGCGTAACCTCTGTCCTGTGCAGAGAGTACTAACTGCAGGAATACCATTGGAATGTGTATGGAGGATAGCAGGGATGGGTGTGTGACAGACACATGGCCATCACAATGTGGGCACAAGCGGAATTCTAAAGACTCTGGGATCTGCTGTCATGTAACCTGGAGTGTCTCTGAATTTTTTGGCTCATCAGGTACTTCAGGTGTGTTTCTGGTCCCTCTCAGGGGACAGTATCTTTGGAGCCCAGAGGCTTCTTGCTGTTGGGTGAAGGCAGCTGCATTGAAGCCGATGCCTAAAACCTAACTGTGGCATTTCACAACATGAGGTGTTCCTAATGGAAGGAGTACGTTTATGAGCCGTGTGTCATTGTGTGTGAAGTGTGATCAGATAACATGCTGAATTGCAGCACTGAGCCTAGCTGGAGCTGGTTCCTGTGTGTGGAATGGAAGGATACAGGCTGTTCAGGTGTCGTGCTGCTCCTGCAGGCTCGCAGCAGTCTGGAGCGGTGCTGATGCTCAGGGTACCCTTGCCAGGTAGGCAGAGCCAGTTAGATTCTGCAATACAGTCTTCAGTAACAGTGAAGAAATTAGGGGGAAAAAATGCCTCTTGTCACATGTATATCTAAATTCTTAAAGATGTTTGTGCCCCTTTCAGCTGAAATAATTAGTGCTACAGGAAAGGGTTTGCTTTTGTCAGTCACTGTGACAGTGTGATCGTGTCTCTGCGTGCCCTAAATTTTCAGTTAAGCTCACAGCACTGGCAGCAACCAAAGATGAAAAGTATTAGTCTTGGTACTTAGTCCTTCCTCTCTGGATGTGCTTGTAGGAAATCCTTGGGCTGTAATCTTGCAAGTGGCTCTGTCAAGGTTATCAGCCTGGCTGGAGTGCCGCTGACAGACGGGCTCCGGGCAGCCTCTGCTGCTCTTCCCGGCTCCCAGCGAGCCTCCGCTGCTGCCGGGAATTGTCCCCTGCCTTGGACAGAGAAAGGATCATGTGCTGGCTGATTGATGGCAGGTTTCTCGTTCCCAGGTGGCCGGCAGACAATGGTGCTCTTCTGCGGGAAGCTCCTGCTGGAGCCCGTGTCCTCTGCAGCCCGAGGCTGCGGCAGCTGGGGCGGCTTTCAGCAGTTTTGGAGGTCGGAGGACTCCCCCAGCAAACTGATTATGATACAGCCTAGCTCATGCTCTATTTCTTTGCACATGTAGATGTACCATTAATGAAATGGAGCTGCTCCCCAGCAGCCATGGAGGAGCATGTTCTCAGCTCTACAAAGCCCATCTATGTTCTCCCATCTCTCTGGCACAGTGAGGGGGTTGTCAGCTGTACAGCAACTGTTTGTTTTCAAGCACAATCTCATTGGAAACCAATAAAAATCATTCTGATTCATTCTCTGTACGAGGATTTTAATACTTGGCTTCCACGGAGGCTGTTTTTCCCCTGAGCTGCTCTGGGAAGTGTAAGATTAAAAAAATATCCAAAGACTTTTCCTTTCTGCTGGTTAATTCAGCTGGTTTATGTTAGGAACAAAGTGCAGAGTTGGTGGAGAAGGAAATCACGGTTGCTCCCTCCCCCTTGCAGCAGCGTGGGTGTAGTGTGCCCACTGCCCTGGCAGAGCTGAGGTACACGGGGAAACCTGTGCTTAGTCAGAACAAAATATTCATGTGTTTTTCATCCAAGCTGAGACTCCCATTACACAGTAAAATGACAAGTGAAGGCTGACTATAGGTATTTTCCCACTCAGTGGGCGCTTGTGCAGTTTCTGAGTCATCAGCTGACAGTGTGGGCCTTAGTCTCTGCTTTTCCTCATGTGTGTGTGCTGCTGGTCCCAGTTTGGTTCCACAGACACAACTGGATCCTTGTTTTCACTTACCATTGACACAGTTGGGAATGAACTCAGTCCCTTCATGCGAACCCAGAGGAAAATGTGGTGGTTTGGTGACTGCAGTCTGGGATTTGAAATGCACCACCTTCTTTTAAGGTAAGGTGGGATACAGCCTCTAATTATGAGGTCACTGAATTGTCTAGTTCCTTTTTGAGTGATGGTCAAATCCCTTGAACTTTTGTAGGGCTTAAAGGCAGAGTGGTTTATGGTATTTAGGAGGTGTAACTAAAGTTGCCTGGAACAGTGCTGTTGGCAGTGACCAGCACGTGGCTGGATCTGCTCCCTGTGTCTGGGGGTGTCGGGGTTCCCTGTTGCTGTGCCATGGCAGTGAGGTGCAGAGCAGCAGTCGCTCTAGTGCAGCAGGAAATTAGTGGGAAAACTAAACGTGTCAGAGCTTTCACCATGGCAACAAAGCCCGGCTGGCTCACAGCACAGCAAGACAAAAGCGGGTCAGGTCTGCCTGCACACAAGGTGGGAGCCTTCTCCAGGCTGTGTCTCCAAAGCTGCCCCTTTTCCTGGGGAAAGGGCTGGTAAGGTGACCAACGTCAGGATTAGAGGTGTGCTCCACTGATCTCATTCTTATGTCAGCAAAGCACCTGACTTGGGAAGTGCCCACAGCCCCAAGGCTGCAGGAGCTCAAGGAGCATTTGGACAACACTCTCAGGAATATTGGGGGATTCCTGGGGTTGTCCTGTGCAGGACCAGGAGTTGGACTTCATGGGTCCCTTCTGACTCAGGATACTCTATGATTCTGTGCTTTTTGCAGTGGATGGGAATGTTTTCTAAATGCCATACAGTCACTCAGATTGTTTCCCTTTCCCTGGAACTGTTTGTAAATAATAGAGGTTGTAAGTCTGCCTTGTGTGACATGCCCAGACATAGTTGCTTAATTCCTCGTCTCTTTCTCTTGGATTGGTGAACAGCCCAGAGGCTGCACGAGCACTAAGTCACGTTCTGATGGCACACCATCAGTTTGCTTATCTGTCTTCTCATCCATGTGTTCCAGCGTTTTCAGCTCTTTGGTGAGGTCAGCACAGAAAGGGTTGAGAGCACCGACATTGCCAGTGACAGTGCTGTGTGTGCTCTGTCCCCCTGACAGTGTCTCTCAGTGTGGGTTTGCCATCCCCAGCCAGGCTCAGCAGCGATGAACGATGCTCCTGCCATGCTGCTGCTCAGGAGTTGTTTTCCTCATAATTGAGCGGGATATTAAAAGGTTTATGGTTTACAGTTACAGGCGTTGCTCCGGCCGGAGGAACGTCGAAATCGATATGGCAATTACTGCCCGGCTCGTCACGGGTTGTGACTCTCACATGCTTGGGGAGACAAAAGTGGAAGTGGCTGGAGGAGTGCCACCAGCGGGGTGGCCACAGGCTCGCCTCCAAGCCAGGGCTGGGGTGCTGGGCAGCATTCCTGAGACGGGGACAGGGTGCTGGGCAGGCACCCAGCACCTGCCTGCCCCGAGTCCCTTGGAGGCACACAAGGAGCTCGCAATTGGACTGTCAGTTTTGCAGAGCACAAATATTAAAAAGAAATAAAAAAAAACACTTCAGAAGTGCTCTAAGAGCGAGAGTATTTGATACAGTTTTCTTGTTCTTGTCGTCTTCTCTTTGGATTTGTCATCCAGTCTGGGAGCACAGCTAGAAGAGGGCGATGGCAGCAGTGACCAGGCCTGGGTGGCCCTGGTCGGGAAGTGCCGCTTCCTGCCGGATTTGCATCCCAAGCCCTAAGTCAGCACTTCGGGGCTGCGTGTGGTAGGGTGCCCTGGCTTGTTGGAGTGAGTCATCATTCAAATAGTCACCAGAGCAAACGTGCTTGTCCAAACAAGAGCAGCTCTGCTCCGTCTGAGGTGAGCAGCAGAATGCTTCTTGTTTTCCCACCTGCAGGTCTCCAAAGTCCCAAACCTTGCGCAGTGCCGTGTGGTAGCACCGCCTTCCCCTCTGCCTGGAACAAAGCTTGCTTCCTGTGCTCCCAGGTCAGATCCTATCTCCTCGCAGGGAGCAGTGCTTTGGGCCTGGCAGATGTTTTCCTTGCCGGGTCCCAGAACAAAGAATGCTCTGCACAGTCTGCCGTGGTGCCTCCTGCCCCTCACTGGTGCAAACCTCAGCCGTGCATCCCAGTGTCGGGACTCAGTGCTGGGATGGATGCTCTAGTGGTTTTCTTAGAATAGGAATATCAACTCCCAGTTAAAATGGTGATTAAGATAGCTTTTTGGTTTTTTCTAGGCTTTTTGTTTTCTTATATGTGTTTAAAGATCTCGAACGACAATTCCAGTCCTCTGTTTGCTTCGATCCTTTGGTTTCAGGAGAGGCTGTGAGCGGCTCTGCAGGAATGGCATGTGTCACAGGAGCTTTGTTTGAGTTCTCAGAGCCCTGTGCTCCTAATTCAGGGCTGGACTAAGAAATGTTTATGATGTGTGACTTGAGTGAGTCACCTGGAGTTGGAGGCAGCTGTCAGCCACAGCGACCTGCACAGCCCAGCCCATGTGCACTACACCTGGCTGGGGTTATCCCGAGCTGGGCACCTCGGCAGGCTCCTTCTGCCTCACACAAACCACTAAAGCCGTGTGAGAAAAGCACTGTCACCTCAGCTGTGCTCTGCCTCCTGCCCTGCTCCTACCTTGTCATCTTTGGAGGGATTCCTCCCCCAGATGCCCTCCCAAAGGCCAGGAAGAGAGCTGTGCCCTACACAAAGGTGCAGATCAGCTCCTGCTGGCATGGTCCTGCTGCTCTGGCCCTGGCAGCATCCATTTCGGGTGACAACACTGAGCTCCCAGTGTGGGAATCCTTCTGTGGAGTTCATTTTCTTCATTGTTGGCAAATTGTGAGCCAAATGTGTACACAGTTTAGAGCAACAACTTCCTATTGACAGTGCTTTCAGAGGAGCTGTTGTTTATAATGTGAGGGATTTCCAGCTTTGTTTTTCTCTCTCTCCAGTGCAGAGTAAACTCTTGGAATTAAATGTTTCATTTTTCGACTGCTTGATAATAGTTGTTGGATTCTGCTGCTGTTGGTGAAACCCAGAGGCTGAGGGGAAGGCTGAGCTCTGTATTTTGGATGTTTCTAGATCTACATGCAGTGGAAGTCCTCAGCAGATGGATGGGATCTGGGTAACAAAAGGTGTGTCAATGGGAAACACAGATGTCCAGCTGAGCACTGCACCTCAGCTCTGTGTGGTATCAGTAGAAAGGTCTGGACACAGGCTCTGTCTGTGTTCTAGCTGGAAGAGAAATGGGAGCAAGAGGAAGAAAGGCAGGAGAACAGGTGTATCCCTGCAGTTTGGTCTGTGTGTGTTGAGCACCGAGGGCCTGAGCAGTGCTGCAGTGCTGTCCCATGTGCTCAGACTCACTGCTCAGCTTCTTAATCCAGGTACTGCAAGGGCATTGCCAAAAGCTTTGAGGGAAATGAAGGAGTTGGGATCCATTTAGCTCCTATCAGGCTGATGTGTACAAAGTACCTTTTCCTGCCATTGCCCAGCCAGTTCCATCTGGGTGAGCGGGGCGAGTTCCTCTCTCTGCACGGTTGGGCTTCGCGCCAGGGTGTTCCATCTCACACACACGTATGAGAATGTTGTAAAAACATAAATCCCTAAGCCTCTCCTGGTGATATTACTGTCATTACTCTGCTAGGAGTTTTCAGAAGTTAGGGTTTAAGTGGTTCCTTGATTTCTGTCCTCTCCTGTGTCTCAAACCACCCCTGGAATTAGTGCCAAGCGCAGTGGTTGGGAGTCAGGTTGAGTGACGCCTTCGGCAACCAGCTCAAGATCAGCAGGAGGAGATACAAGATACTCGGGTGCTGTTCGAGCTGATAGTGCCAGAGAAATATTTAGCACATAGGTGACACTTCTAATCTTTAAAGCACTTCATAAACATTGGCTAATCCCACAGTGCAGTCTTGGTTGGCAACCTATCTGTCTTCCTGGAGAGAACAAACGGCTGGAGGACTCTGGGAGGCTGCAGTGCAAGGCTGTGATAGAGCTTGAATTTCAATTGCGTTTTTTAAAGTATAATTCAGGCTACAGGATCCGCTGCTTCTGTGACCTGAAGCCCATGAAGTGCCTGCACTTCACTCGTACCTGGGGTAGGGATTCCCTGTCCTCCTTCACAGGACACTGGACCGAGCTGTGCAGCCAGGCAAGCGAGGATGAGGAGAGGCTTCAGTTCCCCTGATCCCTTCAGCACACCCTGGGGCTTGGCCAGGCAGGTGCAGGAGGTGCTGTGTGAGTACCAGCTGTACAGGAGAGTCATGAGCAGTCAGGGTGGGAGTCCTGAAAAAAATCCTGTGGCAAAATGCTGTTGTACAGCTGCGATTTGCTGTGAGGGGACACTTGGTGTGATACCAGGTGAGGCATCTCCTCAAGCCTTGGGGCAACCCTGACTCCAGTTCTGAGAGTGCCCAGATCCTCAAGCTACCGGTTGAGGAGTGAGGAGAGGCTCTGCCTCTCATGTTGAAACCGGGGCACTGTGTAGGAAGGAACGTAAGATTTGTATCATCAAAGGGCTGAAAGC